GTGTCAAACATGTATTATTGATCATGTTTGTATAGACTGTATAGGGTAACCTCCTAGAGGGTACAACATTTAGGTATATGTGCATGTACTCTCTAACTCTATGATCATTAAAAATTCTAGTTTTGAGATGGTATCACGCGTAGGTTTCGACCCCCCCCCCACCTACCGCTTCCGCTCCTCCCGTCGCGTCTCCTAGCCTAGCCTCGCCCCTCCTGAGCCCAGTCGCGACTCCCCCCCTAGCCCCGTTTCGCTCCTCTCAGGCCTCGTCGCGCCCCTTCCAGAGCGTCGTAGCGCCCCTCCAGGCCCCGTCGCGCCCCCCCCCTTCTAGGGCTTCGTAGCGCTCCTCTCAGGCCCCGTCGCGCTCCTTCCAGGCCCCGTCGCGCTCCTCCCAGGCCCCGTCGCGCCCCTTCCAGGGCTTCGTAGCGCCCCTCCAGGCCCCGTCGCGCCCCTTCCAGGGCTTCGTAGCGCCCCTCCAGGCCCCGTCGCGCCCCTTCCAGGGCTTCGTAGCGCCCCTCCAGGCCCCGTCGCACCCCCCTCCAGGGCTTCGTAGCGCCCCTCCAGGCCCCGTCGCGCCCCTTCCAGGGCTTCGTAGCGCCCTTCCAGGCCCCGTCGCGCCCCTTCCAGGGCTTCGTAGCGCCCCTCCAGGCCCCGTCGCGCCCCTTCCAGGGCTTCGTAGCGCCCCTCCAGGCCCCGTCGCGCCCCTTCCAGGGCTTCGTAGCGCCCCTCCTGGGCTTGGTAGCGCCCCTCCCGGGCCCCCGTCGCGCCCCTCCCTGGGCCCCGTCGCGCCCCTCCTGGGCCCCGTCACACCTGCTCGGCCCCGTCGCCCCAGCTCGGCCCCGTCCCAGCCGCTCGGCCCCGTGGCGCCCGCCCGGCCCCTGTTGCACCCGACCGGCCCCGTCACGCCCGCCCGGACCCGTCGCCCTCGCCCGGCCCTGCTGTGTCCTGCCCGGCCCCGTCGCAGCCGCCCGGCCTCGTCACTGCCGCCTGGCCCCGTCGCAGCCGCCCGGCTCCGTCGCAGCCGCCCGGCCCCGTCGCAGCCGCCCGGCCCCGTCGCAGCCGCCCGGCCCCGTCGCAGCCGCCCGGCCCCTCGTCGCGCCTGCCCGGCCCCGTCGCGCCTGCCCGGCCCCGTCGCGCCTGCCCGGCCCCTTCGAGCCTGCCCCGGCCCTACATACTTCCTGGTACTGTCCCTCGTTCCCCGCACCGCTTTGCACCCTCCTGCACTTCCCTGCCCCGCCCTGCACCGCATTGCACCTCACTGGACCGCACTGCACCGCACTGCACCGCACTGGACCGCACTGCACCGCACTGCACCGCACTGGACCGCACTGCACCGCACTGGACCGCACTGCACCGCACTGCACCGCACTGCACCGCACTGGACTGCACTGCACCGCACTGCATCGCACTGCACCGCACTGCACCGCCCTGCACTGCACTGCGCAGCACTACACCGCACTCCACCGTCCTACACTGCCCCTCATGGCTGCTGAGCTTCGTTTTGATGCTGAGGGTCAGCCTCTGGAGTTCGAGGCGTGGTTGGCTGACCTTCGCCGCCACCTCACTGGTCAGCGGCAGGACAGCCACCCGCTTTCTGCCCACCTAGACGGTATGCTCCCCTGCCCTGACCCCCCTGCTGTGCTGCCCACTGATCCCACGCCCGCTGAGCGCGAGTCCACTGCCGCCGCTGCCCTTGCCCGCTCTGTCTGGCTTTCCCGTGATGCCCTTGCTCAGCTCGCCATTAGCAATGCCCTCCCCCCCCCTGAGCGCCCTCGCTTTCGAACCATTACTACCGCCCAGGCCTACCTCGATGCTGTCATCAAGCGCTATTCTACCCCTCCTGCTGCCTCAGTGGGTCGCCTGATCCTCCCCCTGCTCTTTCCTGACCTTGCGTCTTTCCCCACTGTCTCTGACCTTGCTGCCCACCTGCGCTCGATAGATGAGACCTGGCGCGCTGCCTGCACTGATGCACAGCTTAGAGTCCATCAGCCTCCCATGACCTCTACCCTCTACCTCCTTGCCACCCGCCTCCCTGACCGCCTTGCCGCCGCCCGCGACCAGTTCCTTAGCATCCACCCCGCTGCGCTCACCCTCACCGACTTTGTTAACACCCTGACTGTTATAGAGACTCGTCACCGCTCCATCGCCCAGGCGAGCGGTACAGTACCGGTCCCTATCTTTCAGGGTTGTGCCCCCGCTCAGTGTACCTTCTCCGACGGCTCTGTCGCTGTGGCTGAGACTGCTGCTGCAGTGCAGTCCCGCTCGGGGAAGGGCCGCCGCCCCAAGGTTGGGAGCGGCGGAGGCGGCGGGGGTGCGGGTGGGGGTGGTGGTGGAGTCGGGTCGTCCGGTGCCGGTGCGGACGTGGGGACCCTGCCCAGTCCAGCTGCCCCGCTGCCTCCACAGTCGCAGCAGCAGCAGCAGCAGCAGTCGCCGCAGCCGCAGCCTCCGCAGCAGCCGCAGCAGCCGCCGCCGACGAGGCAGGCGAGTGCTCTCCCGCCTGGGTGGCCTGAAGCTGGTGGTGGTCGTGCGCGTGGTGGTGCGCCGGGTGGTGGTTCTGGAGGCGGGCGCTGTCAGTACCAGCTCCAGACCGGTCCTCGCCGCGGCTTCGTTTGCGGTAAGATCGGCCATTCCACTCCTCGCTGTTTCCGTCGTCTGGACGACCTGTTCCGTCATCGCTTTGGCCCGGCGCCCGACCTCCCGGACTGGCACAGCTTGCTTAGGCGTAGCATTCAGATTTTTGACTTGGATATGGATGCCATTGTAGCCGCCTTGCATGTGATGTATGCTGATGACTCTAGTGTGCTTCCCTCTTATTACCCTGTGTTGCCTAGTGTAGATGTGCCTAGCGTAGACTCCCCTGCTGCGTCAGGCGTAGGATCTCCTGCTTTGCTTAGCCTCGGTGCTTCCACCGCTTCACTGCCGCCTCGCGCGACTGCTGCGCTTTCCTTCACCTTGGACTCTGGCGCCTCCCGGTGTTTCTTCCGCGACTCCACGACGCTGACGCCGCTGCCTGTTCCCGCTGCAGTTACTCTTGCTGACCCCTCCGGTGGTCCCGTCGTTGCCCGCAGTTCCACCTCCCTTCCCTGTCCGGCGGTTCCTTCAGGTTCGCTCACAGGTCTGCATATCCCCTCGTTCTCCAGAAACCTAGTTGGTGTCGGCTGCCTCCAGGACCTTGGCGTCACCACTACGTTCCCTGGTAACGAGCGGTATGCTGTCTGTACTGAGGCCGCCATTGGTGCCCCCCTTACCACTTTCCCCCGGGACCCGGTGTCCGGCCTGTTCACACTTGACACCGCGACTTCTCCGGCTGGGTCTTCCCCCCAGGTCGCTGCGTCCACCCAGGTTGCTGCTGCGTGCTCCTGTCGGTCCCTCACTCACCCGACTCTCCTTGGGCACCACCGCCTTGGTCACCCTGCACTCCCGCGTCTGCGTCACATGTCCCAGCACGGTCTCGTCCTTGGTCTCCCCGGTTCGTTCCCCGAGTTTCCCTCCTCCCCCGCCCCCCCGTGCACGCCTTGTGTCGAGGGCCGGCTCCGCCGTGCCCCTCACTCCTCCTCGTTTCCCCCTACCACCGCACCACTGCAGACTCTGCACATGGACGTCTGGGGCCCCGCCCCGGTCCATGGGCCGCGTCGCGAGCGTTTCTTCCTAGTGCTTGTCGACGACTTCACGCGCTACACCACTGTCTTTCCCCTGGAGCGGAAGGCCGACGTGCCTGACGTTCTCATCCCCTGGCTTGTCTCTGCTCGTGTCCACCGCGGTCTCCCTGCCTTGCGCCTCCACTCCGACCGGGGTGGCGAGTTTGCCTCAGGTGTCCTTGGTCGCTTCTGTCGTGCGGAGGGCATCACCCAGACGTTTACCCTGCCGGACTCCCCGCAGCAGAATGGGGTCGCTGAGCGACGCATCGGTTTGGTCATGGAGGTGGCTCGCACCTCCATGATCCACGCCGGTGCACCCCATTTTCTGTGGCCGTTCGCCGTGCGCTACGCCGCTCACCAGCTTAACCTGTGGCCGCACCCCCAGCGGCCGCCGGTTTCGCCGACCCTTCTGTGGACCGGGTCCCCTGGTGACGCGTCTGCGTTCCACGTCTGGGGCTGCCTTGCTCACGTTCGTGCCTCTGGCACGGACAAGCTCACTGCCCGCACCCTCCCCTGCGTCTTCCTCGGTTTCCCCCTTGACGCGTCCGACTGGCACTTCTACCACCCGCCGTCTCACCGCTTCTTTCACTCTCGCGACGTCACCTTTGACGAGTCCGTCTCCTTCTACCGCCGCTTCCCCCACCGTGGTCCCCCGGTTACTCCCCCCCTGTTCCTGGTCCCTCCTTCCCCGGTGGTCCCTGCCCCTCCCCCCCCCCCGCCCCCCCGTCCGGCCCCCTCTGGTGTGTCTCACGTCACCCCCCTCCCGTCGGTCGTCCCGGTCGACGAGTCTTCTGACTCTGGTAGTCCTCCGGCGCAGTCCTCGCCGTCTGTCCCTCCCCCGGTGTCTCCTCCTCCACCGCCTCCGCAGCCGTCGTCACCGCAGCTGCTGCAGCCGTCGTCTCCACCGCCGCCGCCGTTGCAGCCGTCCTCTCCGCCGCCACCGCCGTCGCGGCCGTCGCTGCAGCCGCCGCCGCCGCCGCCGCCGTCGTCGCTGCCGCTGTTTGTGGACTCTGGGGGTGCTGGCGTTGAGGTGGGTCCTAGTCCCGGGGCTCCTGTCGTGGCTTGTTCCGGCGGGCCTGGGGGTGGTCCCGGTGCTGGCGGGGTTTCGGGCTCTGGGGGTGTCCCTTCTGGGGGTGCCGGTGTGGAGGGTTCGGGAGGTAGCCGTCGCGCAGCTTGTGGCCCTGGCGTTGGTGTTGTGTCGCCGCAGCAGCAGTCCCCGCCGGTGTCTGCCCTCCGTCTGCTCGGCCTTCCGTCCCCTGACCCTGCGCCTGTTCCTCACCTGCCGTCTCCTCCTCTTCCCGTCTACGGCCCCGTGTTCCCTCCGCCGGACTCGTCCCCGGCTCGTTTTCCCCCTCGTTCCCCACCAGTGTCCCCTCCTCTGTCTCCTGACCCGACGCCTCCCTCTCACGTCTGGTCTCGCCGCCCCTCCCGTGCTCGTCCTGTCTCCCCCGTCCCGCGCTCTCACCCTATGTTGTTCCGGTCCCACGCGTCTCGTCCTCCCCTCCTCCCGTCTCCTCCTCCGTCCTCTCTTGTCGTTGCGTCTCCTCCTCTGTCTGACTACTTTCGTGCCGCTCGTCCTCTTGTTCCTCGGGTCCTTTCCTCTCTCGTTACCGACCCGTCTGTTCCCGTGTCGAGTCTGGACGCCCTTGTCGCTGCGGTCACTGACTTCGCCTCTACCCGCCGCCTTGACTACGCTACCGCTCTGGTCTCTGACCCTGCCTGTCCTCCGTCTGTCGGGGGTGCTCCTGCCCTCGGCAGTGACGTCCTGGAGGACCGCCAGTTTGAGCTTGCTTTCCTGTCCGAGGCTGCTCCCTATCTCTGTTCCATGCTACTAGTCCCTGAGGGTGACCCAGACGCTTTCGACATCCCGACCCCTCGTACTTACGCTGAGGCGGTTTCGGGACCCTGGGCCTCTCAGTGGATAGCTGCCATGGAACAGGAGATGGCATCTTAGAGATCCACCGGCACCTTCGTCGACGCAGTTCCCCCACCTGGGGTGAACGTGGTCGATGGCCGTTGGCTCTTCAAGGTGAAGCGCCCTCCTGGAGAGCCGCCTGTGTTCAAGGTGCGCTACGTGGCTAGAGGCTTCAGTCAGCGCGAGGGGGTGGACTTCTTTCAGACTTTCGCTCCTACACCGAAGATGAATACTCTTCGGGTTCTGTTACACGTAGCGGCTTAGCGTGACTATGAGCTTCACTCCCTCGACTTCTCCACTGCCTTCCTTCAGGGCAGCCTTCACGAGCAGGTCTACCTGCGTCGTCCTCAGGGCTTTACTGGCACTTTCCCCCCTGGGACCCAGTGGCTTCTGCGGCGCCCAGTCTACGGCCTGCGCCAGGCGCCTCGTGAGTGGCACGACACGCTGCGTGCTACCCTTGCTGACCTGCAGTTCTTTCCGTCCTCTGCTGACCCCTCGCTCTTCGTTCGTGCTGGCCCGACTCCGTTCTACATCCTTGTCTACGTAGATGACCTGGTCTTTGCCACAGCTGACAGGGACGCACTGGCCTCCGTGAAGGCAGAGCTGCTGAAGAGACACACCTGCACTGACCTTGGAGAGCTGCGCCGTTACCTTGGCTTGCAGATCTCCAGGGACAGAGCCGCGCGCACCATCACCCTGACTCAGTCACACTTGGTGCGCCAGGTCCTTCAGAGGTTCGGCCTTCAGTTCTCCTCCGCACAGCCCACCCCTCTTCCTCTGGACCACAGACTCTCCGCTCCAGTTTCTGAGGAGTCGGCAGATCCCAGTGGTCCTTACGCTGAGCTAGTGGGTTGCCTCATGTACCTGATGACTTGCACTCGCCCAGATCTCGCATACCCTCTCAGCATCCTGGCTCGTTTCGTGGCCACAGGCAGACACCGACCTCAGCACTGGTCTGCTGCTAAAAGGGTTTTGCGTTATCTTGCAAGTACATCGGGCATGGGGTTAGTGCTAGGCGGACGCAGGCCAGTGGTCCTTACTGGACACACAGACGCTTCTTGGGCAGACGACGCCGAGACGCTCAGGTCTCCCCAGGGCTACTGTTTTAGCCTTGGCTCAGGTGCTGTCTCGTGGAGAGCTACCCGCTCCTCGTCTGTTGCCCAGTCCAGCTGTGAGGCTGAGATCTACGCCGGTGCCATGGCGGCACAGGAGCTCCGCTGGCTGACCTTCTTGCTCACTGACTTAGGTGAGCGGCCTAGCTCTGCCCCGGTCTTGTACGCTGACAACAGGGCCATGATCCTCCTGTGTCAGGAGCCTCGACTCGAGGGTAGAGCGAAGCACATCCAGCTGCGGTACTTCCTCCTGCGCGAGCTACAGCAGCGTCGCCAGGCTCGCGTAGTACACTTGGCCTCCGGTGCCAACACAGCTGATATCTTTACGAAGGCGCTTGCGCCTAAAGATCATCAGCGGCACTGTGTACAGCTTGGTCTGGTTCCTGTAGTCCCTCACTTACTCGGGCCTTGACTTTGTACTGTCCTATATATATGTGTACACTCAGACTGGACTTGTGTCCTCTCACAGTGGTTGGACTAGTAGTGCCGCCCTGTACTTGTTCTTGTCTTGTCTGTACTCCTTCTGACTGGTCTTTTAGACCCTTGTCTCAGAGGCTGGACTAGTAGTGCCGCCCTGAGCTGTTTGTCTAGGACATTCCCATATGCAGTCCAGCGGGTGTGTCAAACATGTATTATTGATCATGTTTGTATAGACTGTATAGGGTAACCTCCTAGAGGGTACAATATTTAGGTATATGTGCATGTACTCTCTAACTCTATGATCATTAAAAATTCTAGTTTTGAGACGTTGGCCCTCGCTACACTCTCACAATACACATTTTTAGAAAGTGTTGCACACTTTCAAAAAAATACATTTATTCATTCTGATACAGCCTTGGTACAAAAAATAAGCCTGAAAAAAGGCTGAATCAGCGTAAAAAGGCTGATATCTAGGGGCCTGCGCTAGACTGAAGTCTGTGAATTCAGACGAAATTTTATAACAAGTATGGACATGCAGACGAAATATTAGACCCCGTCCAAAAGTCAGATGAACAGCAAAAAACGGGTCTGATTCTGAGACCATCAGACGGATTTCGTGTGCTATCGGGAACCGTGCCCATGGGTCTTATCACATACCGTTTAGAAATATTCCAAATGGCCCTAGATCCAGGGGCAAAAAACCGGGTTACCACAAGATAAGCGCCTAATAGAAGACCCAGGGTCTTCTATTACTAGGGGGTCTTATATCCGGGATGTTACGATACCTACACATCATACAAGACCAAAAAACCACCTCCATTCTCATCCTCAGAACTCAAAGCCACAGAGGCGTCAAGATGCAGCTCTGCAATTCCGCCTTCCCCACACCCTTGCCCAGCTATTCCACTGCACCCCCTCCACCCCACACAGGCTGTGGTACTTCAGCCAAGAATGCCTATCCTTCCTCTGCCTCTGTTCAGCCCTTCCCTCACTCTCCCCTTCCACCTGGGTGCTGCGAACTTCCCTGCTTCTTGTAGCTTCCGGTGCACGCAACACACTTGCTGCTCCCCGCCCTGCTCCTCCCTTCCTCAAGCTGACGTCATCTTGGCACACCTTGCTGTCTGCATGTACAGTCTGAGTACATGATGACTCAGCCTCTTCCGCTTCCACCTTCAAGAATTTATCCCTTTTGCACTCATCTATAGAAATCTCATCTACACCACCCCCACTGTTACCGCCAGTACAGTCACCATCCGCACTAAAAGGAGTGCCTGTCCGTTTCTCGTCACCGCGTTCGCGGTTTTCCAACCCCACCACCACCTCAGATTGAACAACACACGCATTGCCGCCCATGCCTTTCGCCGCGACGCCCTTGTCGCAACTCCCCGTGCCACCGATGCTACCCTCCCTGTCGACCCGAGATGCACCAGCATCGCCAGTCGTCGCAGACGCACGGTCGTTTGTGCGACGATCGTCGTCGTCGGAGCAAGCTGTGCGACCATCGCAGGAACCCATCGCAGCAAGCTGCTGGCAGTCTGCCACCGCTGCAGCCGTCGAGCTCCTGTCACCCTCAGTGCCTGATGCTGTCCCCCTCACTTGCGAGACCTCGCAGCCACCCGCGCCAGATATCGCGTCCTCTCTAAGAGCCTCGAGGCTCCTCACCCCCTCTCCAGTCGCAGATTCCCTTTTCTCTGAAGCACCTGAGGTTCTCTCCTTTTGCTCGCTCCCTTCGTTTTGCGTTCCCTCGCACACCTCGTGCCCCTGTGCGACTTCATCCGCCGCCAGTCGCGCGCTCGCCGCCCAGTCGCTCAGCACCTGCTCCCACCGCGATTGCGACGAGCGCAATCGCATGGACGTCGTCATCGGCGTCGCCGGAGGTGTCGCACGTCCCTTCGAGCCTGTGACGTCGCGAGGTTTCGCGTTCGCCGAAGGGGCGCCATCCCTCGAGCTGCCGATCTCCGAGGCTACCAAGAGGGAGCCTTCGGACTGCCCGGTTGCCCCTCCCCTCGCCCTGGACCCAGGGATGTTAAAGTCTCCCGCTTTCTCCTTCCCCTCGCCTTCTTCCGCTCCAGCGTCCAGAGAGGACACCGCCTCGTCAAGCCCGAAATCCTCCTCATCATCCCCCGTCTCGGTCTCTTCCTCCTGTTCTTCCGCGCCTCCCTTTCTCTCATCCCCCGCCTCTCCCGCCTCTCTGGCTCCGTGGTCCTCCTCGTCCTGATCGTCCTCCTCGTCGCCCTCGTCGCCCTCGTCGACCAGCTTGGCCTGCGATCGTCCGCAGCAGAGCGCCTTGCCGTGCAGCTGCAGCACGAGCAGGTTCGCGTCGCCCAGGAATCGCATCATGTGCTGCCGCCGGAACGACGCTAGCGCCTTGCGCTCCCCCGATGCGCTCGCCGCTCCCCCCCGCGCAGACCCCAGGGTCCGCAGATCCACCAGTCCGCCTAAACACGCCCCGCTAGCGGACGCATCCCGTGCGCTTGCGCGCTTGCTCGCGCCTTTCGCAGAGGCGCCACTTCCCTTCCCGCGCAAAGACGAGGCTCCGAAGAAAGGCGCGGCAGCGCCGCCAGCGGCGCCTGCCGCGGTGCCAGCATCTGGAGACCGCTCCTCTGACGCGCCGGTTGCGGTTCCGCCAGCGGGCCTGGCGGGCTTGGAGCGAGCGTCGCTGCTGGGATTGGGATGGACTCTGGGGCGATAGTCCTGCTGCCCCCGCGCAACTGGCCCGCCGCTGCTCGTCTCCTCCAGTTCACCGCGACGGCTGCGCTCGACGGTTTCGCTAGTGGGTCTGGCGGGCTCGCGTGCGCAGCTCTTCCTCGGCGGGCCATCCGGCGTGCCGCTGTGCGCGCTGGGTCGAAACCAGCGCCCCCTGGTGGCCCACATGGCGGCTCAACGTTCCTTCAATACGGGGGAATCGATGACAGAAACAAAAATTATAGGCGTGCTCGCTGATCGAGGAAATCTTCGTGCTGGGTTTTTCTTTTATTGGATTGAGCTCGTCTGGGCTTGGAATGATAGACTTCGTGAGCTGTAGTGCCTACCCTGGGGTTGGGATTACCATCAGAGCGCGAATGTCGGAAATCAGCTGACAGCCGGGTTCTTTCACGCGGCATCCGCTCGTCGCCTGCTCATTGACTGCCTGATTGACATGAAAGGGGGTTTACATTTACACTGCAGCTGTTACGTGTGCTGTGTGTGTAGCAGCAGTGCATTTCCCTCAAGATCAGCTAGGAAAGGGCAGGGCGATCTGCGGCATCTGCGCCACTGTCCAGGTTTGCTGAATGACACTTGGGAGGGAAGACGATCCGTCCGTCCGATGGTTCCATCCCAACAATTGTCCGCACGATTGGAATCGAAAACTTCTTGCTGGGTGGATCCCGCGCCGCTATACACGGTAATGTGCAGCATGCGGTCAGAAGGAGCGCCTGCATCTCCCCTCACGGCGCCCCCAACCGGTCTGTAGCTCGGCTGGGCTGTGCGCGAAAAGTAGCCCTTTGTGTGCGCAGGTAGGGTGTGGCTGCAGAAAGGCAGCACTCGTTCGTGCGGACGATTGCGCTGCGCCACACGACTTTGCGCAAAGGGACGATTTGGATGAGGCCGCACTGTCACGCCGAATCAGCGGCCAAGAAGCTGCCACACTGAACCAAACCCGCCCAGGGCGCATCCAGCTCAGCAAACCATTATCTACCATCTCATGTTGTAACCCCACTCAAGAAAAAGGGAGATTGTAAGGAAATTCCCTTTTCCTAGGCTAGACTACACCGCGTACGCCCTCGACTCTCGGAAGTCCAGGCTCGGCCAACTTCTTCGGTCCCGAACCACTTTGCGAACCCAAGCCTCGACGCACAGCGCTTCCGTGGCTTTCGCCAACCGAATCGCCCCAACATGTTCGCGTGGTTCTCGGCGAGCTCTGTTCGTGCCAATAAATGCATAGGCCTTCAGTTGTATCGACATTCTTGAATCACGACTCCTTTATTACACTACCTGTTATTATTCTGATTAATTCATAACAGCTGGTATCAGAGCCCCGTTCCTGGCCGCTTAGTATTCCGTAGAGTAGTCCGATTATATCGGGAGAGGACTCGACAGAATAGAGGGTTGGCCAGCGGTTCGTAAGCGAGCTCGTTAAAGCTCCTCCAACTAAAAGCGTGTGCATCCTCAGATCTGTCTGATAAAATTTCCAGCATGACTAGCACGCCAGAAACCTCTGCCCGTCGTAGTGTTAGGAACGTGACTTAGGAGGAGTTTGACGAGTTGCAAGCCAGGGCGGTTACAGTGACGACACTGCAGGCCCAGCTTCAACAACTCGCGGATAAGTTCAACCCGACCGACAGGACAACTACAATGAGCGGGTGGCTGTTCGCCATGGAAGTCTTCTTCACGGCAGCAAGTATTAATGACGATGCATCACGTGTCAACTTGGCTGTGTCGCTGCTAAGGGGACCGGCACTCGACTGGTGGCGCATGCATCTCGACGAGGGAGGAGCCCCGGCAGAGAATCAACGGGCGGCAGATGGGGAGATGATTTCATCAATGGCGAAGGCAGAACCAATCTTTGGATCGGTCACGATCCGCACGTGGAAAGCGTGGGGCGAAGCGTTGAAGGGCAGATTCGAGCACATATCAATGCGCGAAAATGCTCGCACAAAGCTTCGGATGTGGAGACAGTTGGGCTCTGTCCAAGAATACACGGTGTCGTTTCTGGCAATCTGCGACCAAATCGGAGGGATCAGCGAGGACGAGAAAATCGATCGTTACGTGGGTGGTCTCCAGCCGGAGATTCAGCAAGAGATCGTCCTACGAGCTCCGACGACCTTCAACGAAATCGTTCGCATGGCAGACGCACTGGACGCACGACCTGGACTTGCGAGAGCGGGTTTCCAGGAGGGAAATCGCTTTCGAGGCCAGCCCAACACACATCAATCAACGTCGTGGACGTGTTTGCAGCACGAGTATTTTCGGGGGAACTGCTTCCACTGCAACCAGCCGGGTCACATGGTGGGGGACTGCCCGCAGCTGAAGAAGAACTTACCTAACGACAAGAAGCAGTTGAGAAATGGAGATCGTCAGTAGCAGATGGGCCACCTACTGACTTGACTGCGTCGCCCAAACGCCAACACCCCCACCAGGTTATAGTGCCGATTTGGGCAATCAACCATTCCTGGCGGAATAAGGGGGGTGAACCGGTTGATCGCCATGTGCTGGTTGAAGGGAGAGTTGGCGATACCCGCATCAAAATATTAGTTGATGGCGGGGCGAGCCTCAGTTTGATGGACGTGACGAAGGCGAAAAATTTGCGATTGCAACTGGAGCGGTGCATGCCTGAAATTAGACATGGGCACAAGCCGAGCCACGCCTGGCTCGGCTCGGCTCGGCTCGCCTTTAAGGCGAGCCGAGCCTCCTTTTTTGGTACCTGGCTCGACTCGAGTCGAGCCGGCTCGGCTCGACTCGAGCCGGCGGCTCGGCTCGGCTCGCACACGTGAAATCAGGCGAGCCGGAGTCGAGCCGGCTCGAGCTGGCTCGATTTCGAGCCAGCCGGCTCGCGGCTAGGGAAAGGGGGGTTTCGCGACTGTCAAATTTCAGATCGACAAACCCCCCCCCCCCCGCCAATATTGTCTGCCAACCCAACTTTCACCCTATCGCGCTAGTCTATCGACCTCAGCCAGCCATATTTAAACCGGCAGCTCCTCCTGATAGTTTTGCAAGATGTAGGAGCAGACGATCAGCTAAATAATATGGATTATCCCCTTATACTAGAGACCCCAAGCCCCGTGGCCCCAATTGAGAGCCCGCACAAGCCCCCCTGACGAGCCGAGCCGAGCCGGCTCGCCGGCGAGCCGGCCCAGGCTCGACCCCATTTTCACGAGCCGAGCCGGGGATCCTGAGGACCCGGCTCGAGGCGAGCCGAGCCGGCTCGACCGGCGAGCCGAGCCGGCTCGACCCCAAACGAGCCGAGCCGAGCCAGGCTCGGCTCATGCCCATGTCTACCTGAAATCGACGCGAGATTGGTCGACGGCACACCACTGGGAAATCGGGAGCGAGTACCTCACGTGCGAGTAACATGCGGCGAAAATTTCAGTTTCACGACGAAGATGCTGGCGACAACTTTGGACGGCTACAACATGCTGCTGGGATGCGATTGGCTGCGCGAATACAACCCGAGCATTGACTGGAGGATGGGTGATTGTCGCATAAAATGGAGTGGCGAGTGGTGACGACTTCCGAAGTGGAGCAGCGCAGCTACAATCAAGCAAGCTATGATTCACGGGGCGCAGCTGTACGCCGTCCGATGGATTGCATCAACGGCTGTCGACACGCCAGCCGACATCGACAAACTCTGCGCAGCTGTCCCGAACGATTTGGCGAACGTGATTCGCAAACACTCCAGCATTTTTCGAGACGACCTATCGGCGGAATTGCCACCTGAGCGAGACCACGACCACCAAATCGAGTTGGAGCCCGGCGCGCAACTGACTGTTCGAACTCAATGGAGGCTGACTCAGCCTGAGCTGAATGAACTTCGACGCCAGCTAGATTACCTGCTCGAGAAAGGTTTTGTTCGCCCCAGCACTTCCCCGTTCGCAGCTCCGATCCTGTTCACCCCGCAGAAAGATGGCGGTCTACGAATGTGTATTGACTATCGCACCTTGAATCGGGTTACCATCAAGTCCCGCTACCCTATCCCGCGTGCCGACGAACTCATCGACCAACTTCGTGGAGCCAAGTTCTTTTCGAAAATTGACCTGCGTGGCGGTTACCACCAGGTACACGTGAACGAAGCTGACTGCTACAAGACGACGTTTCGGACCCCGTACGGGAGTTATGAGTACACGGTTATGCCTTTTTAGCTTAACAAACGCGCCTTCGACGTTCCAGTTGACAATGAACGAAGTTTTTCGGCCGCTGCTGGATAAATGCGTCATCGTGTACCTCGACGACATCCTGATATATAGCACTATACGGGAACATCATTTGAAGGATTTGGAAGCGGTCTTCTCTCTCCTGCAGCAGCACCGACTCATCACCAAAGGCTCTAAGTGCGAGTTTTTGGGACACGTTATTTCCATCGACGGAGTTAAAATCGACCCCAAGAAGATCGCGACGATCAAGGACTGGAAGCCGCCGGTTAGTCTCCACGAACTTCAAAGTTTCCTGGGGTTTGTGAATTACGTTCGCAGGTTCATTCCGAACATGGCGGGGGTAACTTCCCCTCTCACGGATCACTTGAAGGAAGGCAAGTTTTATGAGTGGGGGGGAGAGCAGCAGGCTACGTTCGAAAAGCTCAAACTTTTCCTGACTACACCTCCGGTTCTTCGGATTGCAGATCCTCACCGTCCGTTCGAGCTCATCACCAACGCTAGCGACTCGGCTGTTAGCGCAGTACTATTACAAGACTTCGGCGAAGGCTGAATCCGGCCGAGCGAAATTATCCTGTCCACGACAAGGAGTTACTCGCCATCGTTCACGCTTTCACGGTCTGGTGCTGCTACTTGACGGGCGCCGACGTGACAGGCCGAACAGACCACAAATCGCTACAGTTCATCCGCGCCCAGCTGACACTAAATCCCCGACAGATTCGCGGGCTCGATTACCTCGAGTCAAACTTCCACTACAGAGTCACCTACAAATGGGGGGTTAGCAACATCGCCGACGCACTGACCCGCCCTTCAGTCCACACCGCTGCAGTCCTAATTACCCAAGCTAATCCGCTGCTAACTGGTCTATTCACCCACGGATACAGTACCGACCCATTCTTCACCACTAACAGTCATCCCAACTGACGGTCAAGCAAGGGGCCTACTACCTAAAATCCGATACCAATCGGATTTGGGTTCCCGCCTACCGTACCCTACGCGAGCTACTGATACAGGAGGCACACGACTCGAATTTCTCGGGTCACTACGGCATCGACAAAACTGCCAAATTACTGAGCCGTAATTATTACTGGCCTGACTTGCCGACAAACGTGCAACAGTACGTCACCTCTTGCGCCACGTGTCAACGCATGAAGTCTTCATGACTTCGACCTGCGGGATTACTGCAGCCGCTCGAGCCACCCAGCCGACCCTTGCAACAAGTGACGATGGATTTCGTCACTGGCCTGCCAGCTGGTTCAAGCGGTAACGACGCGATTCTCGTCGTCGTTGATCGGTTGACCAAGATGGCCCACTTCGCCGCCTGCAAGGCGACAATTACTGCCGAGCGGACAGCGAAACTGTTCCTCACGAACATCGTGCGGCTACACGACATTTCTTCGGCAATCATCAGCGACCGTGACCCACGGTTCACGTCCAAATTCTGGACAAAAACCTGGCAGCAGTACGGCACACTGCATCTGTCCACGACGTACCACCCGCAGTCGGACGGCTAGACTGAGCGCACCAATCAGACGATGGAGCAGCTGATTCGCACGACGTGCACAGACCCGGCCCAATGGGAAGACTCCCTTCCCTTGATAGAGTTTGCGTACAACAACGCCCCATCAGCCACGACTACTCAGTCCCCGTTCTTCCTTAATTATGGGATAGACCCAACGACCCCTCTATCGCCACTGATAGAAATTCCGGCACCAAGGTCGCAGTAGTTCGTCGAAAATCTCCGACAGTCTCAGCGAAAAACCGCTGATGCCATCCTCAAAGCCAACCAACGGGCTAAGCAACAAGCTGACTGACGACGCCGTAACTTAACACTCGCCCCTGGGAAATTGGTCCCGCTCGACACCAGGAATTTGGGAATCCCCTCCCAAATAAACTACGACCAAGATTTTGCAGCCCATTTCGCATCATCCGTATGGTGACACCAGTTACCGCCCAGCTAAAACTACCGACCGATTGGCAAATTCATGATTCATTCCACGTCAGCCTCCTACGACCATTCGTCCCGAGTATGACTGATCTCGACTACAGCGCGTACGCCCTCGACTCTCGGAAGTCCAGGCTTGGCCAACTTTTCCGGTCCATAACCACTTTGCGAATGCAAGCCTCGACGCGCAGCGCTTCTGTGGCTTTCGCCAACCGAATCGCCCCAACCTGTTCGTGTGGTTCTCGGCTAGCTTTGTTCGTGCCTATAAATGCCTAGGCCCTCATTTGTATCGACACTCTTGAATCACACTCCTTTATTACACTACCTGTTATTACTCTAATTAATTCATAACAGAAATGATCAAAAGGGTCCTCCCTTCGCCAGAGGCATGAGCAATGGTCTGGCTACTTTCTGCCCCACAGATCTCACCTGCTATGTAAGGGAAACCTTTGTTTTTTTTTCTCAACAAACCCTCGCAACCACCGCGTACATCTCTGAACTTTGGATGTCCAAGCTCGGCCCGACAACCCATGTCCCGAACTACGTTCGAGACCCCCAAGCCTACACGTGGAGTCGCGTCCGTCACTTCCGAACCTCGAGGAACCCAAACCACCTGACGTATGTTTCGTGGCCCTCCTAAATGTTTCCTTGCTAGTTGTGCTTGTATTTAGCTTTGTTCCTCATTTGTATTCGACACACTTAAATCACTACCTCTCTATTGCACTACTCGACTCCATCCAGAGATTATCATAACACCTGGTATCTGTTGGAAGGTGTGGCACTAGGATGCGGCCCAAGAGGGGTTTCCCCTAGAGGGCTACAGGCAAAAGCGCTTGGGAGGGTCATGGGTGCGCTCACCCACCACCCTAACACGCCCTTTTGCCTGTGGCCCTCTTAGGGAAACCCCTCATGGGCCGCATCACAGTGCCACAACTTCCAACACTCCCCTCGCTGGGAGCAGCCCCTCACAGAGCTAGAGTAGCTCTATCTGCGTCAGGCACTTCCGCATAAGCTTTCGTCATAACAGAAAACTCTACATGGTGCGGTGAGCGTTGAACAGACACACGAACAATAAAGGTTGAATATGCTATGTTAGGTCTCGCATAAGGTCTCGATTGTCGATATGACGGAAGGCGATTCGGACGTCCTTGAGGTGGTCGACAATCTCAAGGCGCGGGAGGCTGCCCTGATAGCTCGCTATGAAGACCTCCCAGAGAAGGAGCTAAACTTCATGCTGATGGGGTTACGAGCTCTGGGAGATGGATCATCCGCGGGCGCGTGCAAAAGAAGTCTCCCGAGACAAGGAGAACATGGAGGATTTGACAGAAGGTGGAGTGCGAGAGTCGCGCGGTGTTCTACGAGAATGAGAAACGCCGAACGGAGAAGGATCAAGCGTGGGCGACAAAAAGGACCCTGTAAAAAAGTCAAGCTCCAAGAAGAAGAGTGATGCAGAAGAAGGTCGTTCTGCCGGTCGTGTCGGCGCAGACAGCGCTGCCGATGGCTCTACTGTCTTCCTCCCGACAGCCTCGAAGGATGGAGGGATTGCTAATGAATTCGGCTACTTCAAGTTTTCTCCTGACAAAATTGTGGTGCCAAGGCTCCTTGAGGGACGGCATGACTTGGCGTCCTGGGTCGAGTCAATCGAACCTCAATTGGAGATTGCGCAACTGAGGCAGTTTGTTGACGGGTCAACGAAAGCCCCTCCTGTGTCTGATGCATCGCGGTAAACACAGTTCCACTCTGCCCAACTGCTGACATTCATGGTGATCTCGCGTTGCTGCTCGCCCGATGTGATGATGGCGTTGAAGGTGAGTCATCTGTGAGTGGATGCGGGCTATCAGGCGTTTCATCATGAAGACTTACAAGGCTACTGACGATCTCTACATCAGTCAGTTGGAGCAGAGTCTGGCAAGCTTGGATATGGCAGAGTACGAGACTGCTACAGCGTACTGTACTCGTGCGCAGCAGCTTCTTGCAAATTTGCGGATGACCGGAGTGCAGTACTCAATGGCTTCCTACGTCACGCATGTCATCAAGGGACTGCCGGTGCAGTACAGCAATCTACAGCGCATGATCAAATTTCCGGATGTAAGAAAAACCCTCGATTAAAACACTCTTACGGGCTATATCGTTGTGGACAAGTCCACTTTTGCGATCGAGCTGTGCAAGGAGTCTCCTCTGCCACAATCCAACTGGGCGTCGAAGGGAGAGCCACCTCGGCAGCAGCAGCAACAGCAGAGGCGATGGGTTTCTTCTACGAATGACTCTGGCACAGAGCAGAAGAATGGCCGCAACGACAAGAAGAAATGGGCCAAGAAAAACAAGGAGAAACCCTGCTTCGTTTGTGGTGAAATCGGTCACTTTGCTGCGCAGTGCCCAGATTGCAAAGGCAAGAGGAACGATGATCAGTCGTAGAAGAGAGAAAGTCATCCGAACTCTGGCACGCAGAGTGGTGGCTCTTCTGCGAGCTCTGGTTCTGCAGATAAAAAAGGACCCTCGTGTTCAATTGTCGAGCCGATCACAGAACAGTAGAAGACAGACAATCTACCCATCTCGTTGGATCCAGAGGATGGCGAAGACTTCCAGGCAATTGTAGCTGCTGTAGAAGCTAACCCTGCAGTTGTTCTGCTCGATAGTGGATGCTTGCACCACCTTATGGGAGATGACAAGGCCTTTGTCGAAATGCGCAAGGACGGCAAAATCCAGCAATTGTGCGGATTTAACGGCGACATCCAAGCTGTTCAAGGACGAGGAACAATCGCACTGCTCGGTGAGGCAGGGAAGAATATTTTGGTTCCTGATCCAAGCAAATCTGCTCTCTGCCGGGCAGCTGAAGGACTACGGAGTGATGCTGAAGGGCACTGGCGAGGAAACTATCATGCTCTCTGCCGACAGCGTTGTGCTCGGGCGAGCTCGATACGAAGGTCGGTTTCTCAGCAGTGACCTGCAGCCATAGCCGTGGCGGAAGACTGCGGCAGAGGCGTTTGCTCCGCGAACATAGGCGACTGACGCACGCTCGTCTACTGACGTGTGGCATGCTCGTCTGGCCCATGCTGCTGTCGAGATAATCCGGCGGACTGCGGCACACACAGCAGTCACGGGCTTGGACATTGCGAAGATGCTGAGCACTGATCTGCTGTGTGTCTCTTGCGTCGATGGCAAACTCGCTCGGCATAGCTTTCCTGCAGAGGGGAGTAACGAGAAGAAAGTGCTGGGAGTAGTGCAGGTCGATCTCAACGAGCCCTTCCGAGTTCCCGCTAAGGATGGCAGCCGCTACTTTCTTCTGCTAAAAAACCGCAAGACACGTTGTGTCTGGATGTACCCGATCGCACGAAAGAGCGACGCATTGCTCATTTTTCGGAAGTGGCTTCCGAGGGCAAAACAACAATATGAGGCGACGCTGTAGGCTCTGCGCTCCGATCGTGGAGGCAATTTTTTTGGCAGACAATTCATCAAATTTCTTGAAGAGAGAGGAATTGAGCACGATCTTACGTGTCCCTACATGCCGCAACAGAATGGGATGGTAGAGTGCGAAATGCGGACTGTCGTAGAGGGCATGCGGACTATGCTTCTGCACATGGGTGCTCCTTACTATTGGTGGCATCTTGCTGAACTGCAAGTGGTCTGGGTGCGGAACCACCTCAAGCATTCTTCTCTGCCATCGGGCATCATGCCGTACGAGATGCTTTTCGGCAAAAAGCTTGTTCTCAGAATGGCTCGGGTCTGGGGGTGTATGCTGCAGTTTCTTATTCTGACCTTGTGAAGGATGTGATGCTGAAGCTTCAAGACAAGTTCAAGTGCAAGACCCTTGGTGACGTCAACTACTGCCTTGGGCTTCAAATTGAGCGAGATGTGGAGAAGCGGTGGATGCGAGTGCATCAAAAGAAGTACTTGGAGGCCTTGGCTGCAAACTTTGGGAAGATTGAAGGTCATGTGGCTACTCCTCTTCCCTCAGGGTTCAAGTGTGTGAAAGGACCAGCGGAGGAAAGTGTTGGTGAAGAGGAGAGGCGCCGTTTTCACTCCTTGGTGGGCAGCCTCATGTATGCGGCCGTGCACACAAGGCCGGATGCAGCCTTTGCTACCAGGCAGCTGGCTAGGGTTGTCCAATGCCCTAATGAAGAGCAGGTAGCAGCTGGAGAGAGGGTGGCCAAGTACCTTGGCAAAACAGCAACTGTTGGACTGCAATACTCCGCGGCGGCACAAAGGCGTCAAAAGGGTGCGGATGGAGTCGAACCCGGAAGGCTCTTTCTCACCGCCTTCTCTGATGCATCTTGGGCATCAGAACCAGAGGACATGACAAGTGTGGGAGGCTTCATCTGCTGTGTTGGTGGAGGACCAACAGCTTGGGAGAGCAAGAAACAAGTGGACCAAGCATTGAGCTCGGTGGAGTCCGAGTACATGGCACTCTTCCGTGCCATAATGGAGGTTGTGTGGCAGCGGCGCTTGCTAGCTGAATTGGGGGAGGAGCAGCAAGGACCTACCCCACTCTATTGTGATAGCCAGGGTGCTATTGCATTGGCTAAGAACCCGGTCCTTCATGGCCTTACCAAGCACATGAAGGTGAAGTGGCATTGGGTGAGGAGCATGGTAACCTCGGGTGAAGTGGAGTTGCACTACGTGAAGACGACAGCACAGCCTGCTGATATGATGACCAAGAGGCTGGTTGAGCAGCAGCATTGGAAGTGTTGCAAGCTTGCTGGGATGGCTCTGAACTAAGGGGAGCAGATTCTAAGGCCAACAATCCGAGGGGGAGTTTGTTGGTGCAACCCTATGGCTTGCACTCGGCTTGTCGTCCTTGTTTGTGTGTGTGCATGCATGGCATGGAATGAATTGTGAGTCTATGTCATTGCTATCTAGTGCTTGTGTGTGTGTTTGAATGGTGTATCACAATGTGGTTTGTGTCGGTCTAAGACATTAGCGAGTTCTTACAACTCGCATGTCCGATCGTCGTTTGCGTGTCGCATGTGTAACAGAGGTGGAGAACGACGGAGAGAAGACCTCGGAACCTCCCGGACAAATCAAGGAAATATTGAAGGAGTTCCAAGACATTCGTCCTGACGATCTTCCGAACGAGCTACCGCCATACCGCACGCATCAACACGAGATCATGGAGGAATCGGGTTCGAAGCCGACCTTCTGAGCACCATATCGGCTCAGCCCTACGGAGCTGACCGACATGAAAAAACAGATCGAGTATCTCCTAGCCAAAGGACTCATCCGACCATCCACTTCGCCATACGGTGCCCCAGTGCTCTTCACACCGAAACCGGACGGAAGCCTGCGCATGTGCATCGATTACCGGGCTCTTAACAAGCAGACCATCAAGAATAAATATCCGATACCGCAAATCGATGACCTGCTTGACCAGCTTCGAGGAGCCACGTTATTTTCCAAATTGGATATGCGGTCCGGATACTGGCAGATACGGATGGCGGACAACTCTATCCACAAAACTGCTTTCCGAACTCGGTACGGATCGTACGAGTATTTGGTAATGCCGTTCGGACTCACCAACGCACCGGCAACGTTCCAAGCCGAAATGAACCACATTCTATAACCACTTTTGGACGAGTGCGTGGTGGTGTACCTGGACGACATCCTCATCTACTCGCGCGACATGAAGCAGCACGTCGAACACCTACGACGCGTCTTGGAGATTCTTCGACGAGAACGATTCTACGTCAAATTGTCCAAGAGCGAATTCGCCCTTGAGAAGGTCCAGTTCCTAGGACACATGGTGAGCGCTCAAGGAGTTCACGTCGACCCCAAGAAAATCAAAGCCGTACGTACGTGGAAGACACCCAAGAACGTGAAGGAGTTACAGCAGTTCCTTGGCTTCACTACCTACTACAACACGTTCGTGCCGCAATACGCGAAGATCACCGCGCCACTTACGAATCTGCTGAAGAAGAACACGCCCTACAAATGGGAGCCGAAGCACCAGGAAGTCGTGGAGCAGCTAAAACAAGCACTCACGTCCGCACCAGTACTCATCTTCCCAGATCCCGAACGCGACTACGTTATCGAGGCTGACGCCAGCGACCAAGCAGTGGGAGCAGTCTTGATGCAAGACCAGGGGAATGGACTGCAACCAATCGCCTACCTGAGTAAGAAACTACATGGGGCAAAACTAAACTACCCGATACACGACAAAGAGGCCCTTGCCATCGTCATGGTTTTCAAAGCGTGGAGATGTTATCTCGAAGGACGAAGAACGACTGTCTACGCCGACCATTGCAGCCTGAAATATTTGAAGACACAACCCAACCTTTCCAGGCGACAGGTCCGGTGGATCGACTTCCTCGAGACGCACTTCCACTACGACATCGTGTACAAGCCCGGCCCCAAAACAAAGCACATGCCCTTAGCCGGCCCGCACACGTTGCCGCCATTTAGGTCGAAGGGATGAATCCACTACTCAAGGGACACTTCACACACGGGTACACCATCGACCCCGAAATCCCCTTGGCAGAAAAGCAACACCTACTTCAGTGGGACAGTAACATTGCGTACCGGAAAGGATCAACGAAAATCTGGGTCCCAAATTACCCTCCTTTGCGCCAGTTACTACTCGAAGAATACCACGACGTCCTCTACGCCGGACACTTTGGTAGCAACAAGACGCTGACCGGTATTGCAAAGCACTACTAATGGCCCCACTTAGCAGAAGTTGTCCAGAAATTCGTCACCTCGTGTGATACATGTCAGCGTATGAAGAGCAACAAGCAGAAGAAGGCAGGACTACTGCAACCTCTTCCTGTCCCAGAACAACCATGGCAAGTGGTTAGCCTGGATTTCATCACCGGGTTACCGCCTACCAGCAGCGGTCATGATGCAATCATTGTCGTCATCGACAAGTTCTCCAAAATGGGACACTTCATCCCGACACACACGACGGCACGCACCGAGGAGACAGCACAACTCTTCGTTCGTCACATCATCTCACAGCATGGCATTCCAACCTCACTCATCTCCGACCGAGACCCCAAGTTCACCAGCAAGTTTTGGAAAGAACTTGTGTCTCTACTCGGGACCAAACTCGCCATGTCATCCGCTTACCATACGCAGACAGACGGACAGACCGAGCGCCTCAACCAAATTGTTGAGCAACTCCTCCGATCAGCCTGCAAGGACGAGATCTCCAAATGGGACTTGCATCTGCCCGTCCTGGAGTTTGCCTACAACAATGCTACACATGCCGCTACTGGACAGACGCCGTTCTTCCTCTGCTACGGACGCCACCCACTCACACCACAGAAACCGACAACATCAGCAACAGTCCAACCAGCACACGACTTCATCACAACCATGCATCAGCTTTGGGATCGGTCCCACAAGCGCCTCCTTGACATTCAGCAGCAACAAAAACGCCAGGCCGATCGCCATCGCAACGACCACACCGTTACCGTGGGAGACCAGGTGCTCCTTGACACCCGCATTCTTGACATCCGCCATCTCCCATCTAAACTTCGACCTCGCTTCTGCGGGCCTTTCCTCGTTGAAGCACAGGTTACTCCTGTTACCTTCCGCTTACGCCTGCCAGCTACTTGGAAGATTCACAATGCCTTCCATGTCCAAGTTCTAAAGCCCTATCAAGATCCGAACACGATCTTCGTCGAACGCCAACCGCCGCCGCCGCCGCCCGTCCTCGTCCAGAATGAACCCGAGTACGAGGTCGAGTCCGTGCTTGCACACCGCCGTCGTCGGAATGGCACAGTGGAGCTTCTCATCTGTTGGAAGGGTTATGATCCTTCTGAGGACAGCTGGGTACCTGAGACCGACATGGGTAACGCCCGTCGTCCTCTGCATGACTACCTTGTCAAGCAGGGTGTTACTTCTACCACCCAGCTTTGAGGGGCGGAAGTGTGAGAGTACGACCCCGTTACACTACTTGAGTTCTCCTTATTTCCTTCCTCTTTCATTTCTCTTTTTATCCCATCTCATTTGGTTTCCTATTCTCCATTCTCCATTATTCTTTGGTTTATCCTGATATTCTAATTATGTAACCGACCAGGCTTGGGATGTATTGGGGCGCTATATCTAGCGTAATCCTGCCGTAATCCCTTAAAGCCAATAGCCTCGCGTGGCTATAAGCAGGGTGATTCTATCTTCTAGAAGGGTCTATTCCCTTTGGATAGGATAAACCTGGTTACCTGATGTACTCTGGAAGTATAAAAGCGCCTTGTACTGATCGATAGTGCAATCTTTCCTCGACACATTCGATCCTGTGACATCTTTCATGGTTGGTGCGCTGATTCAAGGGTGCAAACAAGTGCAGATTCTCGCAATTTCTTGTGTGTTCATTTTGTGTGCTTTCTATTTTTAGGGCATCCTCTAGATCGGTTCTTTGCTGGTTGGTGATCTCGCATGACCAGTGTAGGGGAGTGTTGAGAATAGCCCTGATCCTAGGAAAGCTGCAGAAGTCTACTGAGGCGGCATATCAACGAAGTTTGCGGACATGAGCCCTGCAGAAAGGTCTGTCGACGAAGAGCAGATTTTTCGACAAGCAAGGCTCTGCAGGAAATGCTAGTGGCAGAAGAGCAGTTTCATTGAAATGGCAGAAGCACATTTCTGTCGAAGTAGCGGAACAACGGTTCTGTCGAAGTGGCAGAACAAGAGAGCTTTTTCTGTATATGGCTTCCACAATGACAGGTGGTCTTACAGAGACAACCTCGATAGAGTCGAGAGTGTACAAGACCCTCTGGCCATTCGCAGAGGAGAATGCGCTTCAGCAGGCGATCCTTTCGGCTGAGCCGAATCTCGCAAAAATTGCTCCAACAGGACCTCAAACAGATTGGTGTAAGGACCTATTCGCGCAAAATTTGGTAGAAGGGCGGCAGGGAGTCATCTCGGAACTTGAGTCAGTGAATGACCCTTTCGGCAGAAATTGAGGACTTCGTATTTCAGACAAAGGTGGCGTTCCAAATTCGCGAGAAATTCAGAACCGACCTGGACCGAAAAACGGCAAATCTACCTGTGACGTTGAGAAATTGAATACGTGATATGTTATGTGTGAAAACCAAAGAGTAGCGCGGAAGTGAATATCGAGATTCGAAATGGCAGAATTATCTGAGTTATCTGGGTGTCGATACAATGAATGACAAGACTAGATAAAGGAACACTCAGAGTAAGAAGTGTAAATAGAATGAGACTATATAGGGGTATATAGCTAGTGGGTTGTACTCTCTATGGCAAGATCCTATGTAGTCTACTAAACATACACAAATATGTTTGACACACCCCCTCGATCAGATAGGGGCAGAGCTGGTGAGAGACAAACAGCTCAGGGCGGCACTACTAGTCCAACCTCTGAGGCAGGGGTCTAAAGACCAGTCTAAAGAGTACAAACAATGCAAGAACAAGACTAGGGCGGCACTAATATTCCAGCCACAAGGCCAGTAAGGATAATATATAAAGGGTTATACACAATCAAGGTCCTAGCAAATGAGGTGCTACAGGAACGAGTCCAAGCAGTACGCAGTGCCGCTGATGATCTTTAGGCGCAAGCGCCTTCATAAAGATATCAACTGTGTTGGCACCTAAGGCCAAGTGTACTACGCGGGCCTGGCGACGCTGCTATAGCTCGCGCAAGAGGAAGTACCACAGCTGGATGTGCTTTGCTCTGCCCTCGAGTCTGGGCTCCTGACACAGGAGGATCATGGCCCTGTTTTCAGTGTACAGGACCAGGGCAGAGCTAGGCCGCTCACCAAAGTCTGTGAGCAAGAAAGTCAGCCAACGGAGCTCCTGTGCCGCCATGGCACCGGCGTAGATCTCAACATCACAGCTAGACAGGGCAACAGACGACGAGCAAGTGGACCTCCACGAGACAGCACCTGCACCAAGGCTAAAGCAGTAGCCCTGGGAGGACCTGAGAGTCTCGGCGTTGTCTGCCCATTAGCGTCTGTGTGCCCGGTAAGGACCACTGGTCTGTGTCCTCCCAGCACTAGCCCTATGCCCGATGTACTTGCTAGATAATGCAAAACCCTCTTAGCTGTTGACCAGTGCTGTGGTCGGTGTCTGCAGGAGGCCACAAAGCGGGCCAGAATGCTGAGAGGGTATGCGAGATCTGGACGAGTGCAAGTCATCAGGTACATGAGGCAACCCACCAGCTCTGCTTAAGGACCACTAGGCCCTACAGCCTCCTCCGGAACTGGAGCAGAGGGTCTGTAGTCTACTGGAAGAGGGGTGGGCTATGCGGAAGAGAACTGAAGGCCGAACCTCTGAAGAACCTGGCGCACCAAGTGTGACTATGTGAGAGTGATGGTGTGCGCTGCTCTGTCCCTGGAGATCTGCAGGCCAAGGTAGTGGCGCAGCTCTCCTAGGTCAGTGTAGGTGTGTCTCCTCAGCACCTCGGCCTTCACGAAGGCCAGCGCGTCTCTGTCTGCAGTAGCAAAGACTAGATTGTTTACGTAAACAAGGATGTAGAACAGAGTCTGGCCAGAATGGACGAAGAGCGAGGGGTCCGCAGACGACGAGAAGAACTGCAGGTCAACAAGTGTGGCACGCAGGGTGTCGTGCCACTAACGGGGCGCGTGGCGCAGGCCACAAACGGGGCGCCGGAGGAGCAATTCGGTACCAGGGGGAAAGGTACCGGAGAAGCCCTGGGGACGGCGCAGGTAGACCAGCTCGTGTAGACTGCCCTGGAGGAAAGATGTGGAGAAGTCGAGTGAGTGAAGCTCGTAGTCACGCGGTGCTATGTGTAGTAGTGCCCGTAGAGTAGTCATCTTTGGGGTCGGGGCGAAGGGCTGAAAGAAGTCAACCCCCTCACGCTGACTGAAGCCATGAGCAACGTAGCGCGCCTTGAAGACAAGCGGCTCTCCAGGAGGGCGCTTCACCTTGAAGAGCCATCCGCCATCGACTACGTTCACCCTAGGTGGGGGAACTACGTCGACGAAGGGAACGGTGCATCTCCAAGATACCATCTCCTGCTCCATGGCAGCTATCCATTGAGAGGCCCAGGGTCCCGAGGTGGCCTCAGCGTAGGTGCGAGGGGTCGGGATGTCAAGGGCGTCTGGGTCACCCTCAGGGACTAGCAGCATGGAACAGAGATGGGGAGCAGCCTCTGATAGGAAAGCAAGCTCGTACTGTTTTTCCTCTAGGACGTCACTGCCAAGGGCACGCACACCCCCGACGGACGGAGGGCACGCAGGGTCAGAGACCAGAGCGGTGGCGTAGTCAAGGCGGTGGGTAGCGGCAAAGTCAGCGACTTTAGTGACAAGAGCGTCAAGGCTCCAGAGAGGAACGGACGGGTCGGTAACGAGGGATGCAAGGACACGAGGAACAAGGGGACACGCAACACGGAGGAAGTCGGAAAACGGAGGCGGGGCCACAGCGAGCAACGACGGAGGAGGAGACAAGAGGAGCGGAGGAGCAAGAGACGCGTGAGGGCGAAGCAACATAGGGTGAGAACGCGGAACACGGGAGGTAGGACGAGCACGAGACGGGCAACGAGCCCAGACATGAGACGGAGGAGTCAGGTTAGGAGAGAGGGGAGGAGACACAAGAGGAGAATGAGGAGGGAAACGAGCCAGAGAAGAGTCCACTGGAGGAAACACAGGGCCGTAGACCGGCAGAGGAGGAGTCGGTGGCGACCGAGGAGGCACCGGCGGGCGAAGTCAGGAGATGGAAGGCCGAGGAGGCGAAGAGCGTACACCGGCGGCGGATGCTGTTCGACGCCAACACCAGAACCTCTAGCAGGACCACTGCTTCCTCCATGAAGCCCCATGCCAGCACCCCCAGAACGGGAACCTGCTCCAGTACTCACTCCGGCACGCTCCCCAGCACCCCCAGAACACACAATCCCCTGCGGCGCTGACGACGGCGGCTGCGGAGGTGGCTGTGGCTGTGACAACAACGGCGGCGATAGGGGAGGAGAGACCGGGGTAGGGACAGGCGGGGGAAGGGACTCTGCCGAGCTGCGAGAGTCAGCACACCCCTCGGCAGGGACAACCGACGGGAGGGGGGTGACGTGAGACAGACCAGACATGGCAGGGTTGGGAGGGGGAGGATCAGGGGCGACTGAGGGAAGAGGGGAAAGCAGGAACTAGGGGGGAGTGACCGGGGGACCACGATGGGGAAACCGGTGGTAAAAGGAGACGGACTCATCAAAGGTGACGTCGCGAGAGTGAAAGAAACGGTGAGACGGCGGGTGGTAGAAGTGCCAGTCAGACGAGTCGAGGGGGAAACGTAGAAAGACACAGGAGACGGTGCGGGGGGGAAGCTTGTTCATGCCAGAGGCACGAATGTGAGCAAGGCAACCCTTGACGTGGAACGCAAACGCGTCACCAAGAGACCCGGTCTAGAGAAGAGTCGGCAAAACCTGCGGCCGCTGAGGTTGCGGCCACAGGTTAAGCTGGTGGGCGGCGTAGCCAACGGCGAATGGCCACAGAAAATGGGGTGCATCGGCATGAATCATGGAGGTACGAGCCACCACCATGACTAAACCGATGTGTTGCTCAGCGACCTCATTCTGCTGCGGGGAGTCCGGCAGGGTGTACGTCTGGGTGAAGCCCTCCGCAAGACAGAAGCGACCAAGGCAGCCAGAGGCAAACTCGCCCACCACGGTCGGAGTGAAGACGCAACACAGGGAGATCTCTGTGCACACGCGTAGAGACAAGCTAGGGGATGAGAACGTCGGGCACGTCGGCCGTCCGCTCCAAGGGAAACACGGTGGTGTAGCGAGTGTAGTCGTCGACATGCACTAGGAAGTAACGCTCACGACGTGGCCCATGGATGGGGGCGGGGCCCTAGACGTCCATGTGCAAGGTCTGTAATGGTGCGGTGTTGTGGGGGAACGAGGAGCAGTGAGGGGCACGGCGGAGCCAGCCC